AAGACGTGAAGGTCTTCTCATAGAAGGCCAGAAGTTGCTCTTTTTTTAGAGAAGACCAGAAGGTGGTATTCATTTGGAAGAACAAAAGGTGGTCGGCTCATAGAAGACCAGAAAGTGGTCTTCTCATAGAAGACCAGAAGGTGGTTTTCTCATTGAAAACCAGAAGGTGGTCTTCTCATAGAGGACCAGAAGGTGGTCTTCTCATAGAAAGAAGGTGGTCTTCACATGAAGACCAGAAGGTGGTCTTAGACGACTCGACTGTCTACTCATAGAAGACTCGACGGTCTACTCATAGAAGACCAGAAGGTGGTCTTCTCTTGGAAGAACAAAAGGTGGTCGGCTCATAGAAGACCAGAAGGTGGTCTTCTCATAGAAGACCAGAAGGTGGTCTTCTCTTCCAAGAAAAGACCATCTTCTCGTAGAAGACCAGAAGGTGGTCTGCTCATAGAAGACCAGAAGGTCTTTTACTAGAAGTCTCGAAGGTATTTTCATATAGGACTCAAAGGTTTCCAATAAATATGAGGAGGTCTTTTCAAAGAACCTCAGGACTTTTTATATAAAACTTTCGGGGTTCGTAAAGGGGCATTGTCCATGGAATACCTCTTGGTCTTCTGTTCATAGACGACCTCTGAAGATCTTCCTTCTATGAAAGACCTATTAAGAAACTGTCTTCCATTTATTCCCTCATTTCGGAAAACAAAACACGTCTACACTAAATTGCGGAAAACCGACTGACAACCACATGTGACTGGACAAATCATAAATGTTTATATCGTTCATGTTTTGTTGATAATAAAAACAATATTCAACTAAATTTTATGATTTCTTTTCTGTTTCTCTTTTTGGGGGTAATTTATGAGAATTATGAACAGTAAATAAATAAAATGTCATATGGAGCAAATACGCTGTGCGAAATGTCCGTTTGACTGACTGACTGGCTGGCTGACTGGCTAACCAAAATGTAATGTCACATCACCATCATCAGCACTTTTTTTGAATGAATTTCGATTTTTTTTTTTTTTCAATTTTTGACAAGCTTCAACTTTCAAAGAATTAATATGATTGGCCCACCCCAGACAGGGTGGGCTGAGGAATTGGGCTGTTCCCGGCGATGGGGACATACATGCGAAAGGAAACTCACAAAATGTCAATCATATTGTTTCCGTTAAAGGAAGTCGATGCGACAGTTTGTACACATGTTTTGCCTTCGTATTTACAAATGAGTGTTCAGCGTCGTCGACGTCGTCGAAGAAGAAGACCCTGGTGTGGCTTTGAATGCGCTGTCTTCTTTTCCGCCTTCAAAAACTTTTAGCAATGGAAATTTTTCATATATCCACAAAGAAGCGGAATACGAGGAACCAGATAATAATAACAATGGCAAATGAAGAGTATGTCAATATTGAAATTGGAAATTATTCCGCCAGTCAGTATTTATATTTAGTGTGAATGCAACTTGCCTCCGCTGCCCGTGCCCAAGTACTTGAAGACTTCACACTCCATGTCGGCAGTTAGAAAGAAAATAAACCAAATATAAATAGATTTGGACCATCTCGGCTGGGATGGCGCCACATGTCAGTCATAGAGAGATTTTTTTCCCTACTTCTTTGACATTGACTAGCTAATGAATTTATTTGAACTGCTCTTCCAGTGCTTGGTGGCGGGGGGAGGGGTGGTCGAAATGTTTGGCCATTTAGTTAATATGTAATGGTATTGGAACGGACCTAAATTATGCATAAATAAAAGTTGGTCATCCAAACTCATAAATATTTAAATGAAATTGGTCATGACTGTGGATTCGGTTGGTAGCTCGCAGCTAGCTAGCTATCTAACTGTTGTAAATGTGTTCGTAATGTTTGTAAGCGTTTGCTGGTATCTAATGAACCATAACTTTGCTAATACTTCGAGAAAGTGAATTATGTTTCGAAGGAAAAAAATAAATATGATTTAGACGAATCTTTTTTTTGTATTATTTTATATTAAGATCTGATGGGAAATAAAACCAGAAACAAAAATTAGAAAATTATGAAAGTTATTGCCTTGATAAGAAACTTTTCCCGTCATATGAGCCACTAGATAAAAATAAGTTAAATAGCATCAGTAAGGTTTTCCGACAGATGTAGAGAGTGGGATGAACAAACTGCAACCAACTTCAGACTGCTGTAATTTTTAAGCCACACGTCCAACAGCTGTTAAAATTATTCCAGTGACAGCTCATTATATTGTTTACAAGCGTACAAAAGTATTTTGGTGAGAATTTTCCAGAAAAAAAGTTATTCGTGATGGAACTCAGGCGTGACAGTGTGATTTCTTTATATTTGGCTGGAAAACCACAAGTGGCTATCGTTAGAGCACTCCAGCATTTAAATGTGAATAAATCTTTTGTGTCTCGTACCATCGCTCGTTACCGTGATACTGGTAGCGTAGCCCGACGTCAAGGGATTGGATGGAAGGTGGTCTTCTCATGGAAGACCAGAAGGTGGTCTTCTCAAGGAAGACTAGAAGGTGGTCTTCTCAAGGAAGACTAGAAGATGGTCTTCTCTTGGAAAACCAGAAGGTGTTCTTCTCTTAGAAGACCAGAAGTTGGTCTTTTCTTGGAAGACCAGAAAGTGGTCCTCTTAGAAGACCAAAAGGTGGTCTGCTCATAGAAGACAAGAAGGCCTTCTAGCAGAAGATGAGTAGGTCTTCTCCTAGAAGTCTCGAATGTATTTTCATATAGGATCCAAAGGTTTCCCATATATATGAGGAAATCTTCTCAATGAAGACCCACCCAACTCTAATAAAACTCTCTGGATGGAAGAAGAAAACAGCAACATCAGCAGAAATTATACGTAAAGCACAGAAGCGACTTGATAGAAACCTGCGTCGCAGTGGCCGAAAAATGGCTCGTGAGCTGAACATATCGCAATTGAAATTCCAAAGAGTGCAAGAATTTACACCGCAATAGAAAGAAAATAGACTCAAAAGAGCTAAAGAGTTACATCGCTCGGCCAAAAGTGGTGTATTGCCGAATTTGGTTTTCTTCGACGAGAAAATATTCCTTGTCCAGCAGTTTGTAATCAAACAAACTGTACATGATCGTTTACTTGCCAAAGAGGTCAGTTGAAAATGTGCACCTTCGGTTGGCCACCAGAACTCAAGCACCGGCCATGGTGATGGTGTGGGCTGCCATAACAGCCGATAGTCGCTCTCCACTCGTACTGATCGGCCGTGACATCAGAATAATTTTCGAATGTTGTCGCGAAAATATTCTGGAGGGTGTATTAAAGCCTTGGGCACGCAAACATTTTGGCCGCAGACCTTGGACATTCCAACAGGACTCAGCAGGCGCCACCCAAGAATGGTTACAAAATGAGGTTCCTCGCTTCATTTCCAGCGTACAATGGCCACCGAAATCTCCGGATACCAATTCATTGGACTATTGTGTCTGGAGTATTTTGGAAAGCAAGGTTGGCACTAAAAAATACCAAAATGTCGATCATCGCAAACCAGCGCTTCGCCGGGAATGGGACAAAATACCGCAGAGCAACATTCCGGCAGCGTGTGACGGTTTTATTGGCCGTTTGAAGGTCATAATTCGTGCCAAAGGTGAACAATTCGAAAAAACCTAAACTTATTCTAAAATTTTAAGCTACTTCAGACATTTTTTGCTTTCATTCAATAATATGGCGTTTGACTTTTTGCAGTTTTTTTTTATCCCACCCTTTATGTCATTGTTGTAGTTAAGATGTGAATGTGGACTTGGAAATGTGCCCCTAATTGCTCAAGTCTGGAGTCCCATTGGCTTAATTTCATATAACAAGGTCAATGTTTTTTAAGACAAAAGTGACAGTTTAGCCCTATTTCCCGACCGCAAGCAGCATCATATTTTCATCCCGCTTTTTGATATGATGATGGCCTTTCCCATAAGGCAAGCATTGACTTGTCTTTCCCATAATTGTTAAGAGATTGAGTTGGTTGTGGATACGCGTATTTTAATTGCACTAAATGGTACAAAAATTTGATTTAGGGGAAAATTGAACAACTGAAATCCTGAAATTTGATATTAAGGTCACTGTTGGTATCTGAAGTTTAGATATGGAAATTGTTTTAAAAATACATAAGTAATATGGTATTGGACGAAGACATAGATGACATGTCTTTGGGAATGCGTGCTATCATTGTTCGAAAATTACTAAAAGGTACTAAATATTTCGTTGAGTGAATGGAAAAAGCTTGACTACTGAAATTGAATATGGTCTCCAGGGTTTATATATGCTGGTGGCCAATTTGTTATTATGAAACAAGTAAAAAAGCCGGGCCGAACTTTGAATACAATAAAATCCATTAAAAAATCTTAAAAATGCCGAATGTAGGTGATAAATTAGGGTCTACACGACGACATGGACCTGCATAGGTAACATTTGTCATAAGCCATTACAATATTCAAATGCGAAACTTAAAAAAAATCGGTAACAATGTAGCTCACATCATTAAAATACCGAATATCGGGAGGCACCGTTATATGGGGGCTATACCAAGACGTGGACCGGCAATGACAATTTTCTGTCTTAGGCTGTAGTAACCATTACGAACTTAAAATACCAAATTTGAAAGAATTACGGTGAATAATGTCGCTAAAATCATCAAAACCACAAGCGGAAAGACGGACGGATATCGCTAAATCGACATAAAATTTTATGCTGATCAAGAATATATGTAATTTGTGGAGTCTAAAATGTATGTTTCATATGTATATTACAAACGGAATGACAAACTTAATATTCCCTCTATACTATGGTGGAGGGTATAAAAACGTTGAAATAGTTTTGGTCAGAAAATTGGAATTGGAACCATTCCGCAAATATGCCTCTCGAAAAAATCAAAATTGAAGAAAATTCAAAAATTTTAAGGTGGACCTTTCGTAGACTGTAGAACAATATCATGATAATTTTAAAACCGCAAACTCACCCTGTGTCGACTGGTACCCTCAACAACTATTTTCGAATGTTTAAAAAGGATACAATTGGCAATGCCTTGTTGCGAAAATCCACCACAGTAAATGGTTCAGCTGGCGTAGCAACATCCAAGAGATGATGTTTGGCTCTCGATTGCTCCTCTTTGGTAGCTTTGGCCGTAGCAATGTCCAAATTAGCATAAACCTGGAAATAGAATGGAACGAAGTTAAAGTGTATCATCGAAAAGGTTTTCATTGTTCTGCAGAATGGCGAGACAGTGTTAATTGATTAGTGGCGTAGTGTAACGTGTAAAATTGTTGTTAACATGTGATGGCCAAGTACACGGAGGGAAATCCGTTCTATCACAAAGTCAATGTATTTAAAACTAAAAATTATTTATGTATCCGACAATATTCGTAAAAAGTAGTAGATTTTTGAGACATCTGGGACAGAGGAATTTCAATTTTAAATCTATTGAATTTGAATTTCAAATCTTTATATATCGACCTCTCACCCTTTAAACATTTTGAATGAACGAACATTTTCTGTGAGTGTACTTTCACATCAAACTATCGAAATTCTCCGCCATTATCTACCACAAAAACCACAATAAGATAACACTCATAGAGTTTAGGTATTTCAGCTCCCCTTCGCCCTATCATCATCACCATCACCCCTATTGATAATTACAAAAGATCTTAATAATTTAATTAGCATATCATTGGTGATTTGAAAAGGTGATGATTTCGATGACGTTGCCGCTAATGGTCGAGGTAGTGGTGGTGATGGTATTGGTTGGCCAGCGTTGTGGTCTTTTGTTGAACTCTTGGCTTGGCTACCAAAATACATTCTCGCCGGACGCGGTGTGTCCAATCGTCCGTCGTGCTGTCTAGTTATTAGCTAAACCCATCGACACCATCATCACCAAAAGTTCAACGACTCTGAAATTCTTCGACAACGGCCAAATCGAAATCGATGGAAGTTTGAACTAGTATCCGCTTGAACTAAAGCAGATCAAAAGCTAAAGCAACAGCACAGGGCAACACAGAAACAGGTTGTTCGTTAGCTAAACATTAACGTCAACCGAAAATCATTAATTTTTCATTAAATATTAAATTTTTTGAATATTTTAAACACAACGAAATTTCCATATCGAATAATGAACGGCATTGGAATTGGACAAATTATGTTTTGATTTTGTGACAAACACTTGCAATGTATGAATTTATTTCGAGAAAAGACAGGTTGAAATTGATTAGAAGAAATTGGAAATGAGGATATATGAGGTCAAATCGATTTAGAAGGCATTTTAGAGATTAAAAAAATAAAAACAGAAGGTCTTTAGAAGTTCTATGCATAAAAGACAAGAAATTCACATGAAAGTATACCGGTATATTTCTTTCGTAGAATAACTGAGGGTTGTCCCATAGACCATTACTAAATTAACAACACCATCTTTACAAAGAACCAGGAGGTCGACTCACTAGAAACACAAGGACTTCAACCAAGCGCAACAATTATTTTCACAGCGGCTCATAGAAGATACTAAAAAGTTTTCTCATTGAAGAAACTAGAAGATCTCTACTCAAAAGAGGCTAGAAAATCATACAGAAGTTCTTCTAATAGAAGAGCTGAAGATCTTCTCATAGAAGATACGAGAGGGTCTTCTCATAGAAGAGCTGAAGTTCTGCTCAGAGAAGACGAGAAGGTCTGATTAGAGAAGGTATTCTCAGAGAAGACGAGAAGGTATTCTTAGAGAAGACGAGAAGGTCTTCACATAAAAGAGCTGGAGGTCTTCTCATAGAAGAGCTGGAGGTCTTCTCATAGAAGAGCTGGAGGTCTTCTCATAGAAGAGCTGGAGGTCTTCTCATAGAAGAGCTGGAGGTCTTCTCATAGAAGAGCTGGAGGTCTTCTCATAGAAGAGCTGGAGGTCTTCTCATAGAAGAGCTGGAGGTCTTCTCATAGAAGAGCTGGAGGTCTTCTCATAGAAGAGCTGGAGGTCTTCTCATAGAAGAGCTGGAGGTCTTCTCATAGAAGAGCGGGAGGTCTTCTCATATAAGAGCTGGGGGTCTTCTCATAGAAGAGCTGGAGGTCTTATCATAGAAGAGCTGCAGGAGGTCTTATCATAGAAGAGCAGAAGGTCTTCTCATAGAAGAGCAGAAGGTTTTCTCATAGAAGAGCAGAAGGTCTTCTCATAGAAGAGCAGAAGGTCTTCTCATAGAAGAGCAGAAGGTCTTCTCATAGAAGAGCCAGAAGCTGACAAGGTCTTCTCATAGAAGAGCTGACAAGAACTTATCATAGAAGAGCTGACAAGGTCTTATCATAGAAGAGCTGAAAAGGTCTTCTCCGAGAAGAGCAGAAGGTCTTCTCATAGAAGAGCCAGAAGATGTCTACTCATAGAAGAGCAGAAGGTCTTCTCCGAGAAGAGCAGAAGGTCTTCTCATAGAAGAGCCAGAAGATGTCTACTCATAGAAGAGCAGAAGGTCTACTCCGAGAAGAGCAGAAGGTCTTCTCCGAGAAGAGCAGAAGGTCTTCTCCGAGAAGAGCAGATTATCTTCTCAGAGAAGATCAGATTATCTTCTCAGAGAAGAGCAGATTATCTTCTCAGAGAAGAGCAGAAGGTCTTCTCCGAGAAGAGCTCAGAAGATCTTCTCCGAGAAGAGCTCAGAAGATCTTCTCCGAGAAGAGCTCAGAAGATCTTCTCCGAGAAGAGCTCAGAAGATCTTCTCCGAGAAGAGCTCAGATTATCTTCTCAGAGAAGAGCAGAAGGTCTTCTCCGAGAAGAGCAGATTATCTTCTCAGAGAAGAGCAGATTATCTTCTCAGAGAAGAGCAGATTATCTTCTCAGAGAAGAGCAGAAGGTCTTCTCCGAGAAGAGCTCAGAAGATCTTCTCCGAGAAGAGCTCAGATTATCTTCTCAGAGAAGAGCTCAGATTATCTTCTCAGAGAAGAGCAGAAGGTCTTCTCCGAGAAGAGCAGATTATCTTCTCAGAGAAGAGCAGATTATCTTCTCAGAGAAGAGCAGATTATCTTCTCAGAGAAGAGCAGATTATCTTCTCAGAGAAGAGCAGATTATCTTCTCAGAGAAGAGCAGATTATCTTCTCAGAGAAGAGCAGAAGGTCTTCTCCGAGAAGAGCTCAGAAGATCTTCTCCGAGAAGAGCTCAGATTATCTTCTCAGAGAAGAGCAGAAGGTCTTCTCCGAGAAGAGCTCAGAAGATCTTCTCCGAGAAGAGCTCAGAAGATCTTCTCAAAGAAGAGCTCAGAAGCCCCTCTCATAGAAGAGCTTAGAAGCTCTTTTCATAGAAGGGGTTAGAAGCTCTTCCCTTAGAAGATCTCAGAAGCTCTTCTCATAGAAAAGCTCTGAAGTTCTTCTTTTAGTAGAGCTCAGAAGCTCTTCTCATAGAAGATCCATCGGTTGCTCTTCTCATGGAAGACCCGTGGGTTGGTATTCTCATATAAGTCCCGTTCTTTCATAGTCTTTTGGTCTTCTCATAGAAGACCCGGCCTTTCATAGAGGACCAGTCGGTTGGTCTTTTCATAGAAGATACCCGTCGGTTTGTCTTCTCATAGAAGAGGCCCGTCGGTTGGTCTTCTTATAGAAGAGCCGTCGGTTCTTCTTCTCAATGAGGTCTTCTTCCAGAAAGCCGGTTGATCTCCTTACAGAAGACCATTTGATTTTCTTGTAGGAAGTCTGTTAGTCATTTATGAAATATCGGTTGCTCTTCTTTTAGAGAACCATTTGACCTTCTAAAAGAAAACAAGATCGGTATTCTCACTAAAGACCAACTTCGAGCCTTCATCAAGTCTTCTAAATATAGAAATCGGCATTAATATTTATTGCATTTAACATCTCTAACGACTCTCACACATGTCAGTTGATTCAAAAAGTTGTCAACCAGATACCGGGAAGCGAAACGAAATAATTTATTTTAAATATGGATTATTTCACAAATTGATTATTGCATTTTGGATCGCTTTCAGTATTGAATTCAATTTAACCAGTTTAGCTAATTTCTTTTCGGCAAAATTTCGAAATTCTTTGTTTCTTGTCAACCTTCTTTTGATTAGATTTAACGGGGCGTGTACGAGCAGCGATTAAAATATAACGAAATTTTAATTAGAAATATGTTCTCATTCCGGTTTGACTAATTTCTTAACGCATTTCATGAATCAATGAATTAAATATATAATTAAAATGCCTTTGCTTTTTATGACTGAAACATTTGTAGCAGCCTCCTTTCTTCTATGGTTACCAGTTTTTCAACCTCCTAAAATCTAACATTTCAAAATTCCTGCACGAGAACGAAATCCAAATCCATTCAAATTGAACAAATTAAAATGCAAAATATTATGCGAATTTATCAAGATATTAATGCAGAAGATCGATGAATTAATAAAATTAATCGATACAATCATAAATTTGCAGAAAAAAATTGAAACTAATTTTGCATTTTCGAATAATTTTGCAATAAATATCGAAAGACTGTGATTCTGTGCTGCTGCTGCTACCCTCCTTCGTATGATGGCACATGTCGTTCACGATCAGCGGGGGGTTTTTGGTAGGCAAATTCATAATCAATGGTTTTCAATTAAAACATATCTTTGAAGAATTTATGGGACAGGAAGTTTCTTTGGATTGAAGATACACAAACATTGACAAACATTGAAAAAAAAAATGAATTGACAAACCAACCGAACAACTGAAGTTATTTATAAATTAATAACTTCCAATGAAATATAAACCGATTAAGGTTTCGAATGTATTTTTCTGCAGAAAAGTATTTTTTTTTTTTTTCGAATATAAACTATAAAGTTAGTAATAAATCTAAATGATATGAAGACCAAAAATAAAAAAAAACAATTTCAATGTAATTGGATCTATGCTACATTAGCTGAATACTGTGCGCTTCATGACCCTTACTAAAATTAAATTAAATGGTCGTGAAGATAAATTGTAACTTTTTAGAAGAGTTAAATTGTAATATCATTAACAGAGCTCTGTTAACAAGTTAACAGCATTGTAAAAATATTTTTTTTTAACTATTTTGGACTTTTTAATAAAAATCATAAAAAAGCAGCAGGCTGGGCCAAACTTTTAATACCATCCACCACTTGGAAGGAACTTGAAAAATTTCAAAGAAATTTCGAAAATAGCCACTTAAATGAAACCTGTTATATGGGGACTATATGTACGAAGGCGTG